AGGGATCTGTGACTTCATTGAGATTTCAGAAAACTTTAATGTCTGTTTCTGCTTGCCTGTAAATATTTGCTTTGCAAATTTGGTCTGAGACTTGCTTTCATTGTAATTTACCATCTGGCAGAGAGATGTTGGGGAAGGAACATTACTCTTTCCAACTTCTAACTTATAAAGCAGTAGTTCTCAATCTTAGCGGCATGTTAGAAACACCTGGGAAAAATTTTAAATCCTGATGCCCAGACTATACCCCAGTGCAATTAGTTCCGAGTCCCCGGGAGTGGGACCCAGGTATCACTATTTTTGGACATTGCCAGGTGTGTAGCCAAGGTTGAGAACCACTGTATTAGAGGCTACTAATATCTGCCAAAAATAATCCAATAATTTTGAGCGAACAAATTGGCTTACATTTATTCAACTCATTAGGCTGAACTCCATCTTCCCTCACGAACACATGTAGTCTTGGCTTCCAGCAGAGCAACTGGCTAGATGCCCAGTTCCACCACGCAGCTGCACATCATCTTCACCACTGGCCTCTCCACTGTGAATCATAAACGCTCCTTAGAAGATGTATTAGTTGTCTACTGCTGCATAATCAATTATTCCAAAACCTAAAAGAATCAACATTTATTATCTCAAGTTTGTGTGGTCCAGGAATCTGAGAATGACTTATCTGTATGGTTGTGGTTCAGGGTTTCTATTGAGGTTACAGTCAAGTTGTAGGCTGAGGGCTTGACTGGGGCTGGAGGATATGCTCCAAACTCACTCACGTGGCTGGCTGGCAGGAGGCTTCAGATCCTCACTGGCTGTTGGCCAGAGGCTTCAATATCTTGCCCCACGGACAGAGGTCTCAACATAAGGCTGTTTGAATAGCCTCATGACGTGATAGCTGGCTTCCAAGAGAGAGCATGGAGGAAGCCTCATTGTCGTTTATGACCTAATCTCTGAGTCACATGCCATCACTTCCCTTTAGTTTTTTTTTGTTAGAAGCCAGTAACTAAGTCTAGCCCATGCTCAAAGGAAGAGGAACTGGACTCTACCTCTTGAAAGAAAGACTATCAAAGATTTTGTGGACAAATCTTAAAACCACCACAGAAGATAACTGGCCAGGGCTAAGGGAAGACAAAAGGTGGTTGAATTGCCTTTTTGAAAAGAAAATCTAATTCCATTAGAATGCATAAACTTAACAGGAATCAACACCTACAGAACCCAAAAAACTCTTGGAGTTGAGATCACAAATTTGATCATTAATGTATTAATGGGCAGACATGGTAACTGGTTCCCATACCTTAAGTCCTAAAAGGAAAAAGAACACACTAGACCAAAAGAAGTCATCTCTTCTTACTCAAATCCACGATTTCCAATGAATCAGTTCTTTAAAAGACAGGTACTTTATGGATAATGCAGTGTATGTGTTAACAGATAAACAGAAATGACATTTAATTTCAAGCTCCATTAGTAACATACAGGGAATAGTAAGAACAAGGTCAGCCAAGATGGTAAAGGACAAAAGTATTTCATTTCCAATAACGTAAAATAGTGTCCAATGCAGCAGTTAAGATAATGTTGAGTGCCTGCCAACTTAAAATAGAAGAGATGATAGGGAAGAAGAAGTAGAAACCCTTGATACCTAAAGATCTCAAAATACTCTATTTTATCCTGAAATAATTATTTTACAGCAAGCATTTGGATCATACAGAAAAAGTGTCTATAATCTGTAGGCCAAATCTGGCATGATTTCTGTTTATTTAAATAAAGTTTTATTGGAACACAGCCATGATCATTCCTTTAGGTACTGTCTCTGGCTACTTTCACAGTACAACAGCAGAGGTGAATCATTTCAAGATGCTCTATGGCCATAAAAACTAAAAGATTTACTATCTGGCCCTTTATAGAAAGAGTTTGCCAATTTTTGGTGTAGACTAAAGAATGGGGATATATGAGTATTCTTAACTTCATTACAATAATCCCTAAGCTGTTTTTACACATCCTCTGAGCTCTAAAGACAGATCCAAGAGAAAATGTGACGATCAAGAGATTGGCAAAAAACATGTCATTGTTTATGAAAACTTGCTACATTTAGGGAAATATGACTAAAAGTTAATGAAAAATATTTCTTCTCACTCTAATGTTGTTCTGTCCCATAAAGAAAAACATAATGCTGAAGTCAGTCAGTATTCTTTAGGTTGTAATAGAAAAGAACCTCAAACTTGCTTAAGAAAAAAAGGAGATTTATTGACAAATAAAATCAAAGGAAGTCAGAACCTGGGAATTTGAACACCATTCTCTTTCCTTATGACTCTGTCTCTGTCTCTCTCCCTTCTCACTTTTCTTTCCCCCTGCCCCCCATTCCCCAATCCTGCCCCTCTCTGTGTCAGCTTCATTCCTTCCTGCTACAGCTGGGTTTTCTCCACGTCATGAAGAGTGTGACTCCTGGCATCTCCAGATGTACATCTCCTGCCATCCCCAGAGCAGCCAGGGAGCCTTTCTCGTATCTAGCCTCAGTATAGAGATTCCAGAAGACGGAATACAAGGATGGGTTTGGGCCACCCCTGTGGTTATAGGGTTAGCCCTTTCTACAAAGGAAGAGTAGAAGAGGAGATGGTGTGCAGACAAAAGGAGAACCAGTGGATGGACACATTAGCCTACTCCACCATACCAAGTGGCTATATTTGGAGTTAATATTGGAATCAGATTCACCTGGGAAGAAATCCTAGCTCTGCCACTTGTTGTATGATCTTGAAACAATCAATATCCTCATTTAGAGATGACAACTATAAGATATTCATTTAGTAAATATTTATTGAAGGTATCAGTGCTTGGGATGCAAAAATAAACAAGAGAAATAGGTGTCCACTATCACAGAACTTGTATGTCAAGGAGAATATACACAAGTTCATAGGCTGTTTCCAAACACTGTGGTAAGCACTGTGACATGAAATACAGGATGCTACAGGGGGACATAGAAAAGGCATGCCACCTAGACTGGGGGCGGGGTGGCAGTGGGCAGGAGATAGACCCTTCCCAGAGGAATTGCTAAGTTGAGTCCTAAAGCAATGAGCCAGGCAAAGGAGAGGAGAATGAACAGGGATTGGACAGTGTTTCTGGGGAGAGTAGGCAGCAAACTTAGCATGATATCAGGGAGCATGATGATTTAAAGGAACTGAATGTTAGTCAAGTATTACTCAGGAATCTTCAGGTGGCAAGTGACAGAAATCCATTTCCAACTAGCTCAAATGAAAAAGTAGAATTTATTGGCTCATTAATCAACCTATGGGCAGACGTGGCTGGCATCAGGGATGGCAAGGTATAGGGACTGAAAGAATGCCACAACTCTCCGTCTCTGCCTCCACCTTGTGCTTGTCTTTGTGGGTTAGGATTGTTCTCTACTTCTGTGGAGTATTTTCTCCACACAACTGACAAAAGCTCAAGAATACTAATATTTAAGGGACAGGCATAAGAAGAGAAACGAGCAAAAGACTGAGAAAGAGTAGCCAGGATGATAAGAAAACTAGGAACAGATGGTACAACGGAAGATTGTTGTAAAGAAGATGATGAAAAATGAAGATGATGCAAGAATAGAAATTGACCTTATTATTATTTAATGGTTGTGCAAGGTGCCACAGTATGGATGTATCAGTGTAATAAGAGAACTAAAACAAAACAATGAACTTAAACCAGTTAAACAAGGTCAAATGCTCCAGGAGGACAAAATTCTTCAGTTGTGAGAGGGATTCCATCAACCCTAAAGGAGCACTGTAGGAATAAAGTGGGTCCTATCCACATTCTCCTAGTACTATGAAGGCATTCAATACGTCAACAATTTTCGTTTATAAAAGTGAGTCACTGTGACTTATCTGTGGCTCAGATTCTACTCTTACTCCTAGATCTTTTTCAATCACTCTTACAAATATCCAGTCATTACTTTTGTACTAAGGTAGTTTTTTGTGCTCCACTGTACTGATCCCTAATAAATACGCTTTTTTTTTTTCTTCTGACTATGTCACTTGTACCAAATCCTTTGACTTACTGGTTGCACCAAAAGTCATGTATTAATTGGCAGGACAAATACAAGTGACATTTTATTTCTGTTCCTCTCATTAATGTAGATCAGCTCTGGCTGATTAGTTCTCCTTCAAACATTAGCTAACATGGCCCTATAACTTCATGACATACAGACAGTAGAATAGTGTGTGATTTTTGCTTTCCTAAGGGAGACTTAATAGTTTATTTTGTGTGTGTGCCACATGACACTCTTACATTTCTGTACCTATTTTTTTTTTTCCTTGAGAACTAGCTCAAATAAAATAAAAATTCTTAGTTCTTTCTTTAGGAAAGGAAAAAAAAATCACGTACTAATCCAACTAGAGAAAGAGATAAGGAAAATAGGAACAGGTTGGGAAACTATAACTCATTTATAACTCATTAACATATCCTGGTACCTCTTAAAAGTTTTCCTTTTATGAAAAAGAACTGAAGAATAAGATCAGAAACTAATAAGAAGTCACATACTTTAAAAGATTTACTGCTTGCTTTTTATAGCTTTATTGACTATTACCAAGTTTCAATATGTTTCAAATAATTAAATACTGCAACTGGGACATTAAAAATACAAACTAATTTACCAAAATAATTGTATTCTGAATATTATGTACAATATTATACATTTTACATTACATTAAGGGTTTTTATACATAAATGTAAGATTTGATTTATGATTACTGAAAATCCAAAATACACTTGAACATTTGAACTAAACATTCCTATGCATACATACACAGTCATTCAACTGGGATAATCAAAACCACAGATGAGTATGGTTATTAAAAAATAAAATTATATTCATACAACAATGGTAGAAATTGAAATCTGTTTTTATTGAGAGTATTATAAAACCACACATATATGAATTATATAGCCTAATTCTATATATTTAAACATCATTATGCTTTAGACTGAAACATGTTTCTATCTCAAGGGAAACTCCTGATTTTTAATTTTTTTTATTTTAAGGGATTGTTATAATTCATAATCGTTAAAATGCCTACATGTGGGCATAATACAGACCCAATCCCAGCAAACAGAAAAGTCATGAGGGTCTATCATATCAACGTGCATTTTACCGTACAGTTTTTGAAAAATCACCCTATTCAATCGTACAATTTGGTATGCCCTCATATTCAGACTTGTCATCAAAGTGATTACATATTGAGGCGCAGGGCTTACAGGGGAAAGATATATTACTGTAGAGAACTAGATACTGAAACAAGGATGTCACTAGGTGACTTCAAGAAAAAAACAGAACGGGTGCTTATGTAGGAAACACCACCCATACACACTAAATTAGTTATTAAACAAGGAGTCAGTCCTTCAGAAAGGTTAATACACTGATGTGTCATACCTTGTTTGGATACTGAAATATCTAAGCCCAGAATACTGTCAAATGACTTTTAGTATTATCTCACTTTTAAATTTAATTCCTTTCAAGAACAGCTGTGATTTTAAATAAAGACAAACATTTTTCTAACTGATCTGAAAAGTCTGAAAAACAATTTCTTTATAACAAAAATGCCTTTCAAACTGTACGCCACTCTGTACGTGGATCTTATTCCAGAGAGACACAGACTGGTGACAATCCTATCAGAACTATACACAAGAACCTCGGAAAGGCAGAATTAGTAAACTGGCCATTCTCCTGAAAGTCTGCACAGCATTTTGCAGTATTCCCTATTTGGAAATCCTGTATTTTATCAAAGGCAAACAACAGAACACCTGGAAACTAGAAGATAGAAAAGTAAGTTGAAACATATACAAAATCGATGTCCTTTCCAACATCACATAATCTATAAAAAGTGAGATTCAGAGTCTAAGGTTTGCTTTACTGTTTTTCTTCTTGCTCATGTTTAGTTTGAATATAAAAGAAGCTCTAACCTAGGTTATCAAAATATATTCATATAAATGTATGAGCTTTTCTAATACAAAAGTTAAAAAGTCTAAATTCTTAATTTTTGCAATTAAATACCCTAGAGTTCAGTAGGCAGATTTATTTTTGAGCAGCTTGAAAAGAACCTGTTGGCTGAGCACTGTCTGTGAAAGTGGGCATGGCTACATTTCAGCTCTTCGCTGGGACTTCTCAGCAACAGCAGCCCCGTCTTCTTCCTCCTCTTCCTCCTCCTCATAGTGTTCCTCTCGGCCTTTGGGGCGCTTGTTATCCCGAACTTCTTGTTCTTCTCCATCGTTGTTTTTTTCATCAGCCTTAAAGTTAAAAGAAAAGAAAAACTAAGAGATAGCGCATAGAGTTGGTGATACAAATAATTCCCTCTAGAAAGTAAAGGCTGTGAAGTTATTCATTTTTGGAGAAGGGAAACAAGTGAAGAAAAACGTTCCAATAGGCAACAGTGCTGCAGTCGTGCCTAATCTTCATGTTGTCACAAATTTTCCGAACTCTAGGTTGGCCTGTTAAATTCCATGGCGCCTTAGACACACCCACTGCTCTCTATCCGACCATACAGACCTATCGCCCACACATGCGTGCACAGGCGCAGTAGAAATACATATCCCTCACATACGTTGTCATCATTTTCACCGTAGGTCTCTTCAGCATTATGCTCCAATTCCCGTTTTTTCTCTTCAGTCAAATCTTCCTGAACCTAAAACAAACCAGAGATACGAGGCGACACTTTTATCATTTCAACACTTGCAACATATTTTGATTCCCAAAAAGTTCATTCAAAGTAGCAGAAACAAAATTAAACTAAAAATAATTTCGAAAAAAGCCAAAGGTCAAAGATTTGACTTGTCTATTAGCTATGAAGAAATGTATAATACACCTACAAAAACATCAATGTGATTGATTCAGAACCTAGGACTTTTGTGTTTGAGTTTCTGATTTATTTAAATAAGGGTTAACACCTCAAGTAAAACACCTGAAGAAATTCAGCTTATAAAACTGAATATTCCCGGTTTCCAAATGGGAGAACTACAGAAGTCTGAAGGCTCTGACAGAAGGTAAGTTATACGAAGACAGGAACCATCCATCTTCTCAACTAACTGTCTTTCATACCTAGATGCATACCTGGCACACTGCAACGGCTTAATAAATGTGGTTCAATGAATGAATCCATGAATGAATAAATGAATCAATGCAAAAAATAGCTGCTCTGTAAAGGCACAGAAAACATACACCACTACCTGTATACAATGTAGTAGAAAACTGAGCAAAAAATGTGTATATATATTTCTATAATTAAGAATAAACTCCTCTGGCTAAAATATCCAGAACGTAGAATACAAGAATTTCAATTTCTTCATGAAATAGTTATTAAACCGCCTCATATCCCTACATCTCTTTGGTGTTCTATCACGTTTCTGTTTTAAGTAGTTTTATGTATGCTATTACTATTATGTGTCATTGATCCCAACTATTTTTTCAACATGCAAATCAAAGAAAGCATCCAAATATTTTTGTTAAATAATCTTGAATAACACACAAAATTACCTGATTTGTTTTGGAGGGGGGAGCGGTTAAAAATCCCAGAAATGGGCAAGGGAAGGAAAGTATGCAGGTGCTGTAATTAAGGGCTGCATGCCAGCCCAGGTGCAACAGGAATGAACCGCAGCCTCCCAGACAAGCTTTGCGGGGAAGCTGGCCTGTCAGGAGCCTACAAAGATGACCTTCAGAGATGCCTTTAGACAGAGCCCAGCCTTCATGAACCTCTTCTAACCAACCCAATGTCAGCTGAACTCACAGCCCCTAAACTACATTGGCACCAAATAAATACCTTCTGGGGACAGAGGATAGAGCATCTTTTGTATTCACATGTCCTGGTGGGGCAAGCTAAAGAGAAGACATCCTTGTCTCACCTGCAGACTAGTGGTCCAGGACATCTCTTCTGCCCCAAGTTACAGAACCTCATAATAACCTTCACCAGGACGTTGGGATGAAAACAATTAAGCGCTTATTTCAGACTCTATTAAGGCCTCACTAATTGAAACATCGTTACATTGCTGATGTGTTCCGGTCAATTTCAGTGACTGAAGACATGTCTTCTGTAGCCTTCATAATGAAAATACACTAGGAACACGAAACACAGTTTAGTTGGGGTTGGGAGGGAACTGCCTTAGAACACCAGTATGGTGGAAAGAATACATAAATCAGGGTCAGCAAACTGTTCCTGTAAGGGGCCAGATAGTAAATATTTACACTTTCTCGGCCATCAGGTCTCTGCAGCAGCTACCCAACTCCACTGCTGCAGAACAGGAAGAGCCTCAGACACCATGGAAAGAAGCAGGCATGGCTGTTCCAATAAGACTCTACTTACAAAACAGGCCAAGGCCTGCAGTCTGCCAACCCCTAACAGACTATGGAGTCAGACAGACCTATTAAAACCCTGGCTCCGCAACTCTCCTGGCTGTACAAACAATGAGGTCATTTGTTTTTACTGTGAAAATTTTCAAGCACACACAAATAAAGAAAATAATTCAATGAACTCCTTATAGCTATCACTAAGAGTCAAAAGCTATCTCAGAGTTGCCACGCTTGTATCACCTATTGCTTTTATTTTTTGATGAATTATTCTTAAAAATTCTAGATGTCATGTAGTTTCACCCCTACTCATCTCAGTATACATTTCTAAAAACAATGCACTTTTTTTATATAACAATAATGTCACTATCACACCTGATAAATAATTCCATGGTATCATCTAATGTCTAGCCCATACTTACACTTTCCTGATTGTTTTAAAAACGTCTATTTACAGTTGGTTTGTTCTAATCATGATCCAAACAAAGGCCACACACACATTGGTTCCCCTCTCCTCTTTTTTCTTTATTGCATTGACTTATTGTCCTGTAGAATGACCCACATTCTGGATTTGCTTCTTTAAGTATCACAACTTATTCCTTTAGCTCCTACATTTCTTATAAAAGGAAGATAGCTTAAAGGCTTGAATGAATTCAGATTCAACCTGCAAAGCAAGGGTTTTTCAGAGGTGATGTTGTAGATTTCATATTTTCATCAGTCAGGAGACACATAATGTTTGTGTGTCCACTTTTAGTGGTGCTAAGATTGGTCAGTGAGCTCAGATGCTGACAGCCTGCTCCCTCTACGGTAAAATCCCCTGACCCCCATTCACCTAGTGATACCATCCACTGACCACCGACTGCTCTGAACAACTGTTTTAATTAGGGGTTACAAAACTGGTAACTTTCTAACGCCATCATCCCTTCTGCATTCATTTACTTCTATAAAGAACTTGCCTTTATCAGCTATTTAGCTACCGTGCTTGGTATACTTAATTATGGTAGCCTTTAAAATCAGACCTGCGTGGGCTCTAATCATGGTTCTAACAATAACAAGCTGTGCAACCTTCGAAAATTTAGCTAACCTCTCTGAAACTCAAATTTCTTATCTGTAAAATAAAAGGGACGTATAAAAATCAGTGATTTTTAATCTTCTGTGTGTATGTGTGGTAAGGAGAGTCATGAACCCTTTTAAGACTTTGGTAAGAAAGTCTTTAGCAAATGGGCACAGATACACATCATTGTGCACAGAAGTTTCAGGAAGTTCAGCGTTCCCAAAGTCTACCCACAGCCACCGGTCCTAGAACTGCTTCTCTAAACAGTGTGTTCCTGAAACATCAGCATCAGCTGGGGGGCTTGTGAAGAACTCTGACTCCTAGGCCCCACCACAGATAAAATAAAAACCTCCGAGAGTAAGGTCGGATCCAGAAGGTTGTATTTTTCACACACTTTCCAAGGTGATTTTCAGCCACAGCCAAGACTGAGAGCCACTTGCTTGAGTGACAATGAATGCCAGGTTATGAATGTCTCTGGCGAGAGAGATAAACACCCTTTTATAAGTTTTTTCTTCTCTTCTCTTGGGATCTGTTGTAGAAAATTTAGGTTGTTAACCAGTTGTCAATATAATCTGAAGTGGGAACCAGTGATTTAAATTACTCTTTAGGGAACCCACAAATGAAAATTTTATAATTTTTCAGATTTATAGATACACCTTATTATTCTAGTAACATATTCTTCATGTTTGGGGCAAAAGTAATTTAAACTCATCTTAAAGGCACTGAAAAGGAACAAAATGATATGGAGTTTCTAATTTTAAAATATGCTTAGACTAATAACCAGAAGCCAAATGTCAGTTACTCTTTCAGTATGTAAACACATCAATTATATCTTCCACATTCGATCCTCTTTAGTATCCTGCTAAAGCTGATGCAAACCTTTGTCAAAGATTTCCCAGCACTGCTCCTTGTTACTCATTTTTATTCACTGAAATCTAATGTTTTAGGCATTTTAGAAATGGTTGTTCCTATGTGATATGGCGAAGTTTAATAAATAACCAAAACAAAATAAAACAGATCTACTGAGTCTGAAATGGGCTTTGGCCAGCTACCCCATCCCTGTATGTATTAGTGCCTTTCTTTTATACATCAAAGATGTTATGGGAAGAGCTAGGAACCAGAAGGCTGAACCTTAAGTAGTCAAGAATGCTAGGATCCGAGCAGGAGGATGGGCTGTGACAAAGCAAAGGCCTTCAGCAACATCAGCTACAGTGAGGGACACCACTGCTTGCTGAGTAATGTTTAACAGGAGAGTTTCTGCCATCTGGACAGCTGCGTGATGTGGTGATTCACAGGCCGGCAGGACCGCTCAAGGCGGCCAGATAACCCTCTGCGTGCTCTCTCAGGAGGGTTCAGACCAATCTGTTTTCAGTTATACTGGGGAAACTGAGCGCTCAGATTTTTTAAGTTGTCATTTAATCTATATATTATTTGAATAGTTAAATAATTTTAAAGCACACAACACTTTTTGGCAAAGTCATAATTTCTCTGGTTGTTCATAAGTAGATACAAAATCTGGAAAGGAGGCAACATGAGGGTGGGATCACCATATGAATGTGTTTCACTCTAACAATCCAACCAGTGAACAATGAATGCTTGTTAACAACGGTCACTTTTTTACCTTAGAAGGGTAACGCTGCTGCACTAGGATAAAAGAAGGCAGGGACAGTGCACAAACTTGCTAAAATCACACTTGTTTTGGATCCTCTACTCTCAGAGTTCAAGTCACAAGTCTGATGGGCTGGACCTCTGAACAGGGAGAGCCCTGGCAAGACGCAACTCCTCCTGAGGAGCAAATGCTGACAGAAGTCAGTCTGATTGTGGGCTGGCACGGGGGGAACTGAGGGCAGCAACAGGCTTTACATTCTGGCGGTCAGCTGGGCAGCGGAAGACTCTGAGGCTAATGGAGATAAGAATGATGCCCATTACATAGCCTTCTATGGTTTTCTGGGTGCACCCACAAATGTTGTCTCACATACACACCACTTATACACAACACAACACATGTCCTCACAATACTGCATTCCTCCCATTTTTCTCATTTTGCTGCAGTCGGCTGAGAACTTCATCTCTAACTATCACTAGTCCTTGAATGGTACTTGGGAACCACTCTTCTCCTCTCTCCTGAAGGGAAAAACTGGGAACAACAGAAAGAGGTAGGACAATCCAATAACTAACCAGCTCAGGAACTACCAGAACAATACAACACAGCCTGAACCAGGGACGTCCGGGGGCAGAGAGGACAGCCACATAGGGCAGAAAAGAGACAACTGGGCTTCCCTGAGAGCTCACTGGCAATACTTCCAAATGAGGGTGTGGCAACTTAGAGCCTCTGCAAGAGGGTTAGAAAGTGGGACAGAGATGTCAGACCTAGGAATTCTGGGCAGGGAACTAGGAAAAGAGAAGCAGGACCTGGGGCTAGGTACCGGGAAAGGAAAGGGCTCTGGTCAGTTCAGCTGACTTTAGGGAAGAGGAGCAGCAGCCTGAGGGAGGAGGAGAAGGGGCCTGAGGGAGGAAGAGCAGTGGTCTGAGGGAGGAAGGGCAGGGGTCTGAGGGAGGAGGAGAAGGGGCCTGAGGG